AAGAGGTTGCTCCCGGATCGACAACCCGGATACTTTCATGGTTTTGCACCCCCCGCGCCCCTGCCCGGATACGGAATATTCATTTTCTCGCAGTCATCCATCTCATTCTACGCTTCCCCCCGTCCCCTATTTTACTCGAGTCGATTCCAAATTGAATTTTTCCAGTTTTCGAAGTATGCACCATAATTATTAGCAAAGCGTTAACTATCTCGCGCGTTTTACACATCTACGGCAGAAAGGGAGAAAGGTGGACAGCAGAGGAAGATTGATGGCGCATTGTTTTCAATTTGTTCGAATTGCTGGGAAAAGAAGGCTTTCGTTATTTCGGCCGGACGCAAAACAATTTTATTTTGCAGAAAGCTCTGCCGTTTGCGTTAACGAAGGTATAATTTCTATCGAATTTATTTGGCAGAATGATTCGCCGTTTTTGATAGCGAAGATATGATTTCTACTGATCTTTATCGCTGTTTTGGCCGTATGCAAACCAATTTTGTTTTGCAGAAAGCTTTGCCGTTTGCGTTGACGAACGTATAATTTCTATCGAATTTATTTGGCAGAATGATTCGCCGGTTTTGATAGCGAAGATATAATTTCTACCGATCTTTATGCAGCTAATAATGCAGAATGTATAAAGCAGAAAGTATTGCCACGATTTTCGCGCAGTTTCATCCGTTTCCGGCTCGCTGCACCCTGCAATCCGAGCCTAATGCCTGCACCCGCGTTTTTGTCAATTAAAATATGTTTGCTTATCGATCTTTCGGCCGGTCCCTCTCAATTAAAATAACACGCATGCGTGGGCGGGCAAACAATTACAAGCTGCCGACGCCGTGGGACCACGGTCGAACAGATTTTCTGAATTTTGGATCATCTTTTCGGAGAAGCTACAAACGTGATTTTCTTGTGGTTCGTTCGACTGTTTTTGTACGAAACTTAAATTCCTACGGGGTTTTTTCCAGAAATGGACAATTTGGGAGGTGGAGATACGATCATTTTTATAGTTACGAATTGTCAACAACTATAAAAACAAGCTACAAGGCTCGAATAATCGTATCTCCATTTCCTAAATTGTCCATTTTCGTGCGCAATCTGAGCGTCAATTAGGGAGACATTACTGTACATATTTTGTAGATTTTTTTTTTTGACAGGTGATTAATGTTTTCGATCATCTTTTGCAGCATTGGGAATTATGGTTCTGATTTCGACAGTTGACGTTTAGGGTCATTTACACATTAATCTTTCGTTAATAATATTACATTAATTTTGTATACTATATTCATTTTTTATATTACATTATTATATATATATATATATATATATTATTTATATTAATTTTGTATACTATGCGGATTTCGAATAATCAAATTGGTCACACATCCTGATAAAAGTTTTCAATCGTTTCATTTGTTCGAAAGGAAGCAAGCATATATTGAAATTAGGAATGTTTAAACGGTTCTTCCGAATAGATTAAATTGGATAATAAAATTTGCTCTCTCCCGGAAATGGTAATGGTCGAAAGAATAATGAGATATTACGTGCGAGCGCAAACTCCTTCAACGCAAAATGGCGTTTAATGCGTATTAGCGGGGTGCCCATTAAATTCGAGCAATATTCTGGCGAAATTTCGTTCCATTATTCGTGAACTCCGGTAGATAATTCAGAAATCGATGATGGCGGCGAAAATTGTACGAATTCTGAGCTGGTTTCTTGAATAATTCCGAAATTCTTGATGGGGTTCGGAATCGGAACTTAGGGCAGAGAGATTCATCGTTTGTCGCGTTATTTAATTAATACCAACGAAGATTCAAATTTTATCGAAATAATACATAGTCGTATTCGTAAAGATTAGTTTAAAGTTTCTCCTTTTTTTTAAACGAAGTTCAAAGAATTTTTCGAAATGATAATTCGCTGGAATCATCGATCGAGTCTTGACTCGATTCGCAACGCGATTTAATGGCTCGGTTAGAACAAACAATTCGATGTAAGACATTCTCGTGCAAATTTATAAATCATCTATCGAAGATCGTCCCGATGCAATTAATGCGGGAATAATTGAACGCAATTATACGGATGGATCGCGGTGTCAATGATTTAACGAATCGGAGCGAGCGTTATCGATTCGCCGATTCGAAGAATTATTTTCGGATGGCAGCGGGTTCGGATGAGACAAGCGAATGTCAATGTTATTTCCAGGTGACAGTTGACGTCGCGTTACGTTAGGGAAATATTCAATTAATTTTACGACGAGACTAATTCCGTGCCTCTTAATTAAAATTGACTGTTTGGATTGCGGTGACAAGTGAACTGCGGATCCGTGCACTTATGGCACACGCGTGTGCAGACAGCGAACGGGATTTATGCGAACGATTGCGACTAACAACTGACATTAGCATTATCGATATTGTTTACAATGGTTTATTCGTTTATTTCAATGATCTAATAGAGAACGCGAGAGAACGATACGAATATCGTTCTCGCTAATTTGAATAATAAAATGTATACGCGGGAGAGAGAATGATGCGAAATGTTGCAACAAGAATTGATATTATTTTTTTATTGATATTGTCTTTCGTTAATTTCAATGTTACGTTACATTTTCATTCGTGTATCGATCGGTATCATCGTCGCCGCGCTCGATATTTCGTTTCCGATATCACGAATTTCGGAATTTTCGAGGGAAATGATTTTTTAGTACCGGATTTCGTGGAACGAAGTATGCTAATGGGTATTTGCATATGGATCCGCACTAATTATCAGCTTAAGCTCGGCCCTGGTTTCATTTTTAAACCGTCGCCTATCGGACTTCGCATTCTCACGGAAAAAGATACAAATTTTCGCCAGATGCATACTCGAATCTCAACTATTCAGTACCGAATTCCAAGCGCTACGTTAACAAGAACGCTAACGCAAATTGCCTGTGCAATTTGCAACAATGCGAATTTCGTAGGTCTATTATAGCGAACGAGACGGTCTCGAGCACTATAATTCATTAATTACAGAGACATTTCGCGACAAGTTCTCGAGTTCCCGTCGTTTGCGTCGCGAAGAGAAGCGACGATAGGAAGAACCAAGTTAGTTTCTTTTCAGCGTCCATATCTGATATACTTCGCGAACTGTTCCAACCTAGTCTAATCCAGAAGCAACGTTCAACCTAGATCTAATTTACCGGAGGGTATAGTCGTTCGGGTAGAACACTAGAACAGGAAAGTTTTCATGCTTTGTCTACGCGAGAGGTCAGTCGAACAAAACCCACGCCTTTATTATTCAATCTAACAAACACAGTTACGGTCCTGGCTCGTTCTAACAGAGGGAATCGTGTGCTTTTTTTCACGATAAAACACTGGGAACGAAAAAAACATGTCTCATTCGCCGCTTGCTTCATGGCTTCGAAAGAAAAAATAATGTCCTAGGGATTGACAATGAAACATCGAGACTTCTGAACAACGTTGAATAGAACGAAATATGACAAGATGCGACAAAAAATACAACGAGGTTAAATAAAATAAAATACTACAACGTAGAACAAAATAGAATAAAATACAACGAAGTAGAAAACATTGCAACAAAGTACAGTATAATGTCTCCCTTACTGACGCTCAGATTGTCCACAAAAATGGACAATTTGTACATTATTGTACAACGAAAGATCTGAAAATTCGAGAGACTGTGACGAAATACAAAAGAAAATGGAACAAAGTGGAGCAAAATAGAAAAAGATAAGACCAAAGAGCAGAGCGACACAGAATACGATACAACAAAACAGACCAAATTGCAAGAAAATAGGAACGAAGAGATCGAAATCAGACGGTAATGACTCTTCCGCGTTTATCACCGCGACAGCTTGCGAAGAGCGCGATTGTGTTACCCTAACGTTGCGAGTTGGAGAGCTAATCGCGATACCGATTGCACCCCAGGGTGCAAAAGAGGTTGCCGTACCTACGGGATTAAAGGGAAGACGTTTCGAAGGGTCCGGTGAAAAATCATTTGATCGGGGCCCATTCGTCAGCGGGCAGACGGCGCGGCGTTGTAGCACACGCGGAGTCATCCGCCGAGCAATTCGAGGATTGTATCGCGACTCCGGTCTCCGGAGACCATTTTTATCCTTGCCCCGTAATCCTCGCGATTTGTCCCTTCGTGTAAACCCCGCCGCACCGGGAGGGGGGAAACTCGCGCTCGATTTATAGTCTTTCGCCGACGCCGATAACTTTTATCTTTCGCACCCGCAAACATTTAGGCCAGTGGCTTTATCTGGAGTGATCCCGTCGATACGTGAGCCGATAAGATGCCGCGTTCGGATAACCGCCGAGAGGGTGTCTTTAGCGGTTATGGTCGCGTCGCGTCGCACCGCGCCGCGCCGCCGGCAACGGGTTGATTGACTTTCCGAGCAAACTTGTCACTCGCTACGCTAGATCTTCGATAAAACGGTTCGGAAAATTATGGATCTTTGGGATTCACGACACTCGTTTACCGCTCCGAGCTCGGCCGCAATTTCCTCGACTGCTGCTTCAACTCCGCGAAAAATCATCGTGGGATGATAACTTTATTTTGAGAATAAAGCTCGAAATCTCAGCTTTAAGATGATATTTTTCGATTTTACCTTTCATGGGCTTCGAGATACCTTTCAATCCTTTAAATGCGAGGTCACGTTCGCCATATCGAACATCGTCAAGTTCGACGAAACGCACGGACTTGGCAAAATTTTTCTCGCAGATGCGGTCTACGGTGGAGCATAGTCCGATCCTTCCCCTTTAATTTGCAAAAAAAGAAACTCGGCTGCGATTTTTTCCCACGAAGTTGCAGCAGTTCAAAGTAATCCTTTCACGTCCAACCCTTTCAACCCCTACGCTCAAAATGCAAGGGTTACTTGGAAGTGCTGCAACTTTGCGAGAAAAAATCGCAGCCGAGTTCGCCTTTTTTTAAATTAAAGAGGAGAGATCGAACTTTATTCCGCTGCTAACGGCATCCCTGAAAAAAATTTTACAAGGTCCGGGCATTTCGTGAAACTTGGCAATTTTCGATGCGATGAACACGGCCTCGCGTTTAAAGGGTTGTAGCGGCGAGGGCGCGTCGAGCTTGAAATCAGGGAAGACGTTCTTAAAGCAGAGATTCCAAGCTTTAATTTGAAAATAACGTCATCGTTCTGCGATGATTTTTCGCGGAGTTATCGTCGGTCGAAGTTGGCCAATTTTTCTCCACGATTTGTCTATGGCTGTAACCGTTTCGAGCAGTGCATATCAGTCGAGAAAACTAAGTCGCAAGAGTCTCCGTGAAATTCGGGTGGTTCGAGAAAAATGATTGCGTTCTAAAAGGTGTTGCGCCGTTCGCCGAATTCCGGAGAAGAAAGCGGCATGAAAGGCCGCGGGAAAAAGGGGCGCCTCGAAACTGGAAGACCTCCTCGAAGAGAGCCAGAAGCAGCGAGCGGTTCGGAACTCATGAGCGACTCGCTGGCAAACTGGAGCACCGTCTAGCCGTGCAATTTCGACTGTTTCGAGTGTAACGTTCGCGGAAAAGCTTTCGCGGGCTGTTTGTCCCATGGAAACGCCGCGGCCCGGCTATCTATGATGAATCGCGTGCGCGATAAATAATGCAGGTGTTGATGGTCCGGGGAGGCAGAAATAAATTCAGTCACGCAGGTTCGCGGCCGCTCGGCTCCCTTCTAGGTCACGATGCGCAATTATTGAGCGCAATCGAGGACGATATTTATGCGCAAGTTAATATACAGGGTGTCCCATAATTCTGTCAACACCCGGAAAGCGACGATTCCTGGGGTTATTCGAAGTTACGTTTTCCTTGGCGAAAATGATATCCGCGGCTTCGTTTACGAATCATCGACGAAAAACAGCGATCAACGAGAGGCGGAAAGTCGTCGGTTCGATAAAATCTATCGACGATTGCAAGAGACGATTAATTGTTGTCGTTCAAATAGAATCGAAAGGATATTTTTAATATAATTCCGTCAAGAATTGTCTTTTGAATTCGATGGTCGTCGAACGAACGGTGTATCAATTGACGCTTGTTTCACGGAACGCGTCATTTTGACGCCGTTCAAATGTCTCAAATTACGACTATTATTAATTATTATAAAGACACGTTCGTTCGTATTTTTATACTCAATAAATTGTTCTCGCTGGACAAGTTCGAATAAAAGGTAGCCAAAGATCTGAACAAATAAATGCTCGTCATTTCGACGAAGAGACATAAACTGGCTTGTTTCAGCGGCTCGTACGATGCCAAGAACGATTAGTTAATTAATTCGAAGATCGATGTCGAATGTCGGGGCACGTTTCGGCCTCCATTGGGGATCGTTTCGCCGTTGGACCAGCGCCGTTAGAACCTTGAATTAGCTCGAACTCGCGACCACGGCTACTCGATTTATATATAGAACGCGATCAAACGCCCTTCGATACTAATGACAGAGTGTATATCGTCTGGCGATAGCGATCCGTCGGTCCGATACGCGACGGGACGCGTCCTAAAACGCGTCCCACAAAATTCGGGAGCTCGATGATTCGCCGAAACTCGGTTACGGCTCGCGAATATTACGCGATTTACGTCGGATTCGGCGTGTACGGCCGCCATAGTTTCGTTTTGCGGTCGTCCACGCTTCTATATTCGTATAGAAAAACGTTCTACACGCTTCTCTTGCCACCGATATTTAAATACTTTGTGACTGCGAACGTTTCGGCGAGCATTTATTCTTCGAGGAAATCATCGCGATCGAATCGAGGTTCCGATCGCTGCGATTCTAGAAGAAAATGGCACGGCGAGGGGTGAAAAAAACGCCAGAAATTCAGGGCTGTCTTATAAAGGCTTGGTCCAGAAACCTTTCCGGACAAGCTGTATGGAAACCGTCGGCGGGTTTTAGCGTTGAACGACAGGCTGCGGGGAAAAAGGCTCCGCGCGTATCCGAGGCAGAAACATCGAATTGGCTGGGGGTCGGAACGACGTGTTCGCGAACGCGTCGAAAACGAGAGCGTGAATCGGATCGATCGGTAACGAAAGGGTCGATTCGGCGTGCGGGTGGGTCGAAATCGCGGCCGGAACGAGAACGGAAGCCGACGAGGGACGTTTTCCGCGGGCGGATCGCGAGAAAGCAAGCCGGCACACGTTATCTACTTTCCACAAACATGCGGAGCGTGTCCGATCAATAAACGGCTGGCCTCCGGCAGCCGCCAGGCTCTCTTCTCTCTTCTCCGTGTAACCCTCGAATCTTGGCGTGTCGCGTCGCGCCGCGGTCGCGGCTAATGCGGGGGCGGAACGCGCGCGGCCCGGCCGCAACGCGTTTTCCAGCTCGATCCGCGACGAACCGCGCCGATCCAGATCACGGCCGCGTAAAAACAGGAGCAACTGTTGCTCCGAACGCCTCGCGAATTTTTCACCCCACGCCACGTCGCGTCGCGTCGCCTCGCGCCGCGGCGAAACCAGCGAGAGACCGCTCCTCCGAGACTCTGCGAATCTACCGATGCGATCCACAGGAATTCCCGTGGAATTCTCACGGGAATTCCCTGCTTCCCGGCTCGCGGTTTGCGACGTTTCAGCCTCTTAGTTCAGAGAACGGTTTCCTAATACGGGACACAGTTTGGCTTTTCCAGGATATTTATCGTTTCCTCCTTTTTTTTTTGGCGATATCTAAATAGCTATAACTTTTTGAGAAATGAGCGCACGACGACCGGTCTTGGCTTATTTTGAAGCTCGATGCGTCTGCTTTCACCGTGGGTTGGCCATTTTCCGCTAAAATGATTTTGCAGCGTGCAGGAAATAAGAAACCGACAACTTGTCCTCTTCAAGATGCTGCAAATTCAAACGTATGATATAAATTCATTGTTCGCTAAAAAGGCATCATATTATATTATTAAATTGATATAGAATACGCTGAAAAGTTATTAAACAAAGAACGAAATGTCTATCTTGTTCCTGTTGTTTTTATTTTCTGAAGAAAATTTGTATTCCGCGCAAAGATTTAGCAGTCGATTAACAACATACCTAAATATATAATTAATCGTGCCCACCAACGGATCGTTCGAGCGTTCCGAGATCAAAGATCGTGTCGCCGACACACGTAGGCAGTCGCCAGACGTTTAGATTGTTCTCCGGCAGCGTGGAAAAACCGCGGGACCGAAATTTTTTTCGATGAAAAACGAGCTCGCATAAATCGCGGCGAGCATCGGCCGAATTATTTAGGTCCGTTCCAGATTCGGCGACGGCGGATTTATTTGCTGGCCGATGGGATGGATCGTTTCAGCCGGCACAACACGCCGAAGTCGATCCTAATACGTTTGATGCGCGTCCGCGGAAATGAAAGACGGAAAGCCGACGCGGCGTTCTAACAATAGGCGCCGCGCCGCACCGGCCATCGAACATTTACGTCCGAGATCCCATTGTTTCGGCGGTTCGGCTCGAATATCTTGACCGTGGGTCTACGATGCTTATCAAAATTTCACGACTCGATCCTCTTAGCGGTCTTCCGAAGGTATATCGATCCCTTTGGTTTCATTTTAGTTCGGTATATTAGATTGAAACCGGCCCCGCGCGCGATGAACGTTTCAGATTTTCGTAGACCGTGTTGTTAGACCGGGCTCGCTAAATCGAATTGGCTGGAATGACTTGCCAGAGGCATCCTATATGAGAATCGAATCGATCCGGAGAAACAGAAAGCGTGTATCGTTGCTAGAGAAACTCGTAGCGTGGACAATTTTTCGATAGAAATTCCATGGAAATCGAAACTTTGGCGGACGACAACTCCGCGAAAGATCATCGTGGCACGATGACATTGTTCTCAAATCGAAGCTCGAAATCTCTTCTTTAAGATCGCGTTTCTCGCTCCTAAGCACGATGCACCCTCTCGCCGCTGTAACACCTTTAAACGCGAGGTCGTGGAAACGCGTAACAAACTCGGTGGCGAAACAAAGTGGTGCAGCAGAGACTCGACGCATCGAACGAAGCAACGAATAACAAAGTATCGGAGAGAATAAAAATTGGAAATTTGGTATACTTAAAAGTTCCGGAGGCCGTCGTGCGTGATATAATTGCACGCGGAATCAAAGGAAGATCGTGGAAGAGCCGGGGCACGGATTTATAATTAAAAAGTGTCTGGCCCCGGTCCTTTGAGCCGCGGACTATGAAAGCGAGCCACTTAGAATCCACGTTTATTGTCGCCCCGTGTTCCTCGCCGGTGTGGACCTCGCCGTGCGGCATCGCCGGTGGATCGTGAAATAAGTTTATAACGACGTCTTTCGAGTAAAGGGAAACGAAAGATGAAGTTGTCGGAACCGATGGAAACTGGTTGGACCAATATCTTGGTCTACCGTGTTACACAAGCTTCGAGAAAACTTGTTGCAACTTCGTGCAGCGGAATCCGCGATTTTCCCCGGGCACCGTTCGAGAAAACTGGCATTAATGTTCGAAGCTGATTAGAAAACAAATTGGAAGTCGAGGGCGGCCGACCAAAGGTTGTCAGCCTCGCTCTCTCTGTAACAATGCTGGCAGCAGCGTCAGTGACCGGTTAACTTGTCGCGTGAACAAAAAGCTTGCGTGCAGGCGTTCGGCGCCCGGTAATTCATACTTCTCGCTTTCCAGTTGAACCTGCCCGGCTTTATCGTCCCATAAAAAGCTTGCCCGCGAGGGACCGACGACCGAGGCGATCGTCACCTTTCTAAGTGCCCGTTGTTTCTGTGAACCGTAAATCTTTTCGCAAATACGCGATCCGTACTGTTCGCTTTCGAGCATTCGGCCGCGATACTTGCACGCGAATAATAGCAGAATTTTGAAATGCTAGAGACAAGTTGAAATGATTTATCGCAACGTGATTTGGATATACGGTAATGCCTCCCTAATTGTCGTTCAAATTGTGCACTATAATAGACAATTTGGGAAGAGGGGACGCGATTATTCGAGATTGGGGTATAATAATATAATATAAATTATAATATAATATAATATATAATATAATATAAATTACCGATTGTCAATAACTATAAAAACGAGCCGCAAGACTCGAATAATCTCTCTCTTCCCAAATTGTCCATTTTTGTGGACAATGCTAATCACATTTAATTAATATTTCCTCCGTTTGTCGAGCAATTGTTGAATGAATAAAAATTTCAATTCAATTTCTCGCGAAGCTCGTTTCATCTTGGTTTCATTTGGTTAATAAAAATGATGGCGGCCGTTCAAGGATACGATACTAGTAGGGCGACGAGATAGTAAAAGTTCTGTTAATTAAATTCCCCCGAACATTATCGGGCGAATCACTCACGGTATCTCTTAATTAATTTTCCCATTGGTTCTTAAGAGCCTTTGGACAGTCATTCGTTCGGAACGAGATAGCGTGATCATTGTACGTTCCACCCACGATTATGTTTGCCTCGACCAGTAAAATAATACGGTGCGACAGAAATTTGCTAGAACGAAGCAAATATTTTTACTTCGTCGTGTGTTATAATTTGTTTATCGGCATTGTAGATAAAAGAAATATTATCGAAACTGTCATTGAATCGAGGGAACTCGTCGATTGTCGAATATTTTTGCACGTATATCTGCGATATCAATTTATTAACTTCCTAGACGAAGAAGCATCGTTTAAAGTATCATTAAAAGTACTATTAAAAATGCTTCGTTGAAACTCTAACGAAATGTCAACTGCGATATCAGACTGCAATCAAAAGCGTTCGCCGTCGCGATTATAATTTATTGACAATTTTATTAATCCGTTCTATAATTAATTCTTCTTATTATCAATTTCACATGAAAACACCCTTCTCTCGAGCATAATGCGTGACATTAAGGTACAAGAATAAATGAATAATTCTGTGACCTTGGAGAAGACCTTGAGAAAGTGACCTTTGCTTGCCAGATTCAAAGTAACGTATGACATTTACTTGGAACAAATTGGATGGCCGATACTCGACGAAGGAAAATCGCGCGAACGGATTCAATTCGATGTTCCCGCGAAATTCCTCCAATTTGGTAATCGTTAATTTAATGAGAGAAACGTTCATTAGTCACGCAACTCAATGAACCCAGGTGTTCGAACCCCCTCCGTACGTGTTTCAGATTATTCGCCGACACATCGGCACGCCTAATTGAACGTTCTAAGTACGGTGATGCTTATAAATAGTCGTAGAAGGGGTTCAAGATTAATTTTCCACGTACAGGGCACCGCGTCGATAGTGACGTGATTATGATGGCATCCTCGCGTCGCGTCGTCACGCGAGATAAACAAAGTAAAACAACACAAGATGACGCGCGTAACTTCGCAGAATATTTAAACGCCGATCTACCGCATCGTGGAATTGCGCGAGATTTTTTGCGCGACGTTGCGTACTTCGACGTCGCGCGAAATGAGTCAGCAAAGGGTTGGAAAAACTGACGATCTTCGAACCGTTATAACTTTGGAAAAAAGAATCGTACGACAATGCACTTTGGCTCATTTTAAAGCTCGAAACCTCTACTTTCGTCGTGTCGCGTGCATTTTCACCTGCGACTGTTTTACGCGTCGCGGCGAGCGGGAAACTGAAGCCTCCTCGTAGATGCTGCGGACCGAGGGGTGCACGCGCGTCGAGGAAAAACCAGAATCGACGAAACGGAACGATGAAGTCGAACAGTGTTGAACGTATCGCGGGAAAGGAACTGCGGCGAAGGTGCTCACAAGTTGGACCGACTTTAGGGACACTCCCGGAATTTTGTTACCGTCGTTCCGCGAAACTACCCCTATCAAAATCGTCGGCGGAGTTTGATTGGCACTACGGTGCTCGCACACCGGCCAGAGCAAAAACTCTCGATTTAGCACCCTGTGATTCTTTTTACGGGGCCGCGACAAGGACGAAGCCTTTATCCTTATCGTTCCTCGAAGATTTCGAGGATCCACGGCGGAGAACGTTATTCCCGTTTGACGAACACTTCTTTCCAGTTCCGTATCGCGGAGTTAATGGCTCGCTCGCTTTCGAACAATCGTAATTAACCCAGTTCTATTAAAATAGCCCCGGATGACTTACTCGAATCTAAATTGCAGAAGACAGACCCCGCCGATGTTGCTTACTCTTCCCCGTTGTTTCCACGATTTACGAATTCTATTCGAATGGAACCCGATCGGGCGAGTTATGTCTGTTAGTTAACGAGTCCTGAATAGATTTCCTGCGTTCTCCGTTTTACGTTTCGCGCGGCCAACGTTTCCGCAATCAGATCCGCAATTCTAATCGGTCGATTGAATTTATTCGGCATTGACGAGCCAGACGTCCTTTCAAGTTTTCTGGAAGAATTCAATAACATTAATAGTGATAATGATAGAATAATAGCGATAATAATAATGAGAAATAATAGTTGTAGAAATAGAATAATAATAATAGTAATAATAACAGAACAATAGTGATAATACTAACGAGAAATAATAGTAGTAGAAATAGAATAATAATAACAGAACAATAGTGATAATACTAACGAGAAATAATAGTAATAGAAATAGAATAATAAATAATAGCGAGAATAATAGTGAATAATAGAATAATAATAATAGAGTAATGATAATAAAATAATAATAAAAATGTAAGAAGCCTGTGAAACTGAACGGTTGATTAGAGGCTCGCGAGAAAACATGGCGTGACCGTAGTCAACAAAGAAATACATACGTGTATAAGAGTCTCGGCTGGTCTATCCCTGGGAAAAGGAGTTTCATCGAAATCAATGATCCGGTGTCAGCTAACATTTGTCTGCCAGTCTATAGGCACATAACGCCTGAAGATTGGTTAGCGCTGGTAAATACAAGACAGCGTCGGTAAATACACACCGTGTGTGTAGAGCCGGGAACGAAATAGGTGTCGATCGAGTCTCGTCGAATTAAGGAACTTCGCTTTAGCAAATTTTAGAAGAACTATAGTCGAACTGTAAAATGACTCCGTAGTTCATTGCCGTGCGATTCTTTTTTACCAAGTTACACCGGTTCGAGAGTTGTTCACGAATTGTTCAAACCCTTTCGATTCCTTCTCTCTGCTGCTCGACGAAAATCCATTAGGCCGATTGTATTTCTTTCGTTCAACCGATGAAAAAAACAGCGAATTTATGGCATCTTTTCATCGGACAAGCGACATCGACGTTCGCGATCGAAGGGAGAAATTCTTTCGCCGGGCCAAATTTATCTTCGAGGCTCGATCGATGCTTTCTAAAACGAATCGATCCATCGGCATTATCAGTTCGATTTTTCTGCATCGAGACAGCCGATTGAATCGCGATTACCCAGGGCAATCGAAATGGTATTCGATCGTTCATTCGTTGCAACGGCAAAATGTAGAAACAACGGACGCCGTGGAATTTATTCGAAGCTAAACTCAACTTTATTATAATTTTAGCAAATAAACGCTTGAACGAATTTACGTAGAAGATAATGTAACACGTCCTATTGGATAAGCGTAAATGTGAAATTAAACTAAAGGCAGAGCAACCGGATTCTGTCATAAACGGCTGATAATCCCGCTGAAATTTTCCCGATCGCCGATAATCGTCCGTCAACTCGATAAATTGATCATGCGCTTTTTCCCCCCTTTAACAGCGATTAATTCCGGACTAGCCACGGGAGACAAACTATGTACAGCCGAGCGATCGTTAACTATACACACGCACACGCACACGTATTCGGACTCGTTCGGTGCCCGCATCGCGACGGATCGCGCCGCGACAATTTGCTATTATGACATTCCGGTATCGTGTCCGTCGCGAAACGAACCAACGAACGAACGAACGAACGATCGATCGAGGAGACAAGACATAGTAACTAATCTCGCTGATCGATTCACGGTTGCCAAGTGACTGTTACCTAAACACGATCCTCCTCGGTGCGTGACCTAGGCCTCGGCTTTCTTTGATCACGGATAAACATAGGAGGAGCTCTGTTGACATTTCGCCTAAATGGCCGAACGGCTCTCAACCGTCCCCAGTCGTCGTCGCGGGTAGTACAAGATGGCAACCGGCTAGGACAGGGTGCCGCTTCGTGGTCTGGAAGGGTGCCTCCGTCGTGTACGCCTGTGTACAGACGTGTCCGAGTGCTACCAAATGCTATTTGCACGGTTGTTCCCTCGGCGGCGACGCTTTCCGCCGAGAGCTTCAAACGTTTACTTTGGGGAATCATTGATTTTCGCGACCTTCGCGCGGAATCTTCAAGGTCGACGTCCTCGGGCCGTACACATTACGCGCGACGACAACGGTGGAGTGTCGCAAGGAATCATTCGATGACAGATATTCTCTCGTGGAACATTTATTCGGACGATATTCTCTTCTTGCGAATGAATTGTGATACTCGATTCGGCGATCGTTGAACTGAAACAATGTTAAGGTTAGAATTGTTGTATAATTATTCGTTAAATCGATTCGTTGAATTACCCTTACCTCGTAGCATCGACAGCCTAATCGACGCGCAGTCGAAATTCTTGCAGCGTTGGAACGAAAGTGTTCCAATGAAATGTTCCAGTGGAGATTATTGTAGCATTGTTTATTTATTCGATTCGATTGGTCACCCTAAAATTATAATATCGAACGGAGTCAACGAGGATCGATGCAGCCAATTTAATATTCAACCATAACCGGAGCTGCCATTTCGTCCGACCACTTTATGCAATGTTTATCCTTTAACACTGTTTGCGGCTTCATTAATCCTAATTGCAGTCAACATCGCCGAATTGCAAGCGAAATTACAGTGTACACCTGAAATCAATGGATTCAACATAAATGGTAGCAATCCGATGTTCGATTACCCTTCACCGTGCACGTGGCTATTCTACATGTAACGTTTAATATTGTTTGCAGCTGCGGTAGATCGCGATTAATATATTTCCTTAACAGTTTATCGTGGTACACGTGGTTCGAGAGAGTGAGCATGATGGTGATTCTTTTGAATTGCATCACGCTGGGGATGTATCAGCCGTGCGTCGACGACCAGTGCGTGACAAATCGCTGTAAAATATTACAGGTACGTATATGCCCGCAGCCGCATAATACCCGTATGCACGGATACGTGTCCGTGTCCCATTAGGGAAACACTGTAACGAGCGTTGAAAAGAAACGAGACCGTTAAATCACGCTTGTCCTTGCATGCTGCACGCCTCCATTTTGCCCGGTGGTGCTTCGCGTTTCACTTTTGCGAACCGTAAACGCTGCAATTACGATCCCCGGCGCTCTGATTAAAAGCTTGCAACTTGCAACGCCTGCAATCGTAATCTCCGATCGAGGAGTTTCGGTCATTGTGCGCGCGAACCTAAGCCGCTCTCCTCGCCGAGGCCCAAGTCCTGTCGCGAATACTTTTTGACGATGTCGAGGACGATTGCGTGATTATTCCCTTGCCTCGACATTTATTTCTCCATCTTTTCGCGAGTTTTCTTTGTTACGTTAGATCGGAGTTCGTCGGATTACTTTCGTTCAGGTTTGTTTGTTATACCTTTCTTATTCTTTTTTATTTATTTTTGCCTCCGTTTCTCGAAGATATTTCCGACAGCTTTTTTACATTTTTTCTTTTTCTTGGTATTCATATTAATTAATATACGTACGATTTATTCGAGGCAGCCTTAAAAATTCTGGCCGATTTTTGTACCGTGAAAAAGGCCATTTACAAATGTTCCAAATGTCGCCATTTTGCCGTCTCGTATTTTAAAACGGGTCGCGCAGTAATAAATCCTTGCCATACAAATATATGTATTTCCATTTAAATCCGCGAATCGGATTACGTCGCTGAACCTGGAATAAGATTCTGCAACGATTTTTTTTTCTTCTTCTCTCCGCCGTTAGGTGGTCCGGAAAGTTAGTGCCGTTTCCTGCACAGTGACTTTATTATCCGTTTTTCTCCCCCAAGAAATAAAATTTCGTTCGACTTGGTGAGCACGCGGTCTTCCAGAAATGTTTCACGTGCGCCCTCTTTTTCCCTCCTTTTCTTTATATATTTTTCATTTTTTATTTTTTTTTTTGTGGGAAACGCGGACGAAGGGGACAGCGAGCGTGCATAAAATGCATTCAGATTGCATTACGTACAATGCATTAAATAGATTACTCTACTTTCACCCGGAAATTTTACCCTCGAGAAATCATGCGTTTTAGTCGCGGCAAAGGGTGCGAAGAAACTTGGAACAATTTGGAGAAAAATGTGATAATCGTGAAATTATTAACAATTTCTTAAACAGAGTCTGCGAGTAACCTAGTATTTTATGATAATTATTTTGTAATAATCGAATAGCGCTAAGTATTAAATTTTAATTTATTGATCAAATATTTTGCCTACTTTCATTATTTTCTATTCAAAATTCAATTACAGACACGTTTGAACATATTCAACGGCAGATTCGATTGAAAATTAAAATTCTATGGTTTTTCAATTCCCATTCATCCGTGCTCTCAGTTTTTCCTTTATCGGTAAAAGTTGCTTATAAATTATGTTCACGTTCATATATTTATCGGATTTTCTTTGACAGCGACGTGTCCAGCTAAAATCCGCCAAATGAAAACACAAACTCGCCCCAATAATAAAGCAATCCCAGCATCCGAATTGCAACTGCAAACCATTACACTTGGTCCAGCAATGTTTCACGGTTGGCCTGAGATTTTCACTGCGAAGCACCACTTCATTCGCTTTACGCCGTATCAGTTTTCGCCCATCAGACCCGAAAATATTAAATTCCCTCTCATCTGCGAGAATCACATTTTTTCCACCATGTTTCCTCCCCGGGAAGAATTTCGTACTTCGAAGACGCTCGAGCACCTAATCTCGAGGCAACTTCGAGCTTTTTAAGGAGCCCGAAAGTTACGCAATATTTGCGCGAAACGGAACGGTAAAGAGAAGCGAGAGGGCCCCATCGATTAACCTTTTAGGCACGACGCGCCACTATAGTGGCTTCCGCAGATATCATCTTTTAGAACGACACGCCACTATAGTGGCTTTCGCGGATGTCATCTCCCTGGACGACGCGCCACTATAGTGGCTTGCTCTGGTAGCTCACTCGCTCATCGTTCGAACCAAATAATCGTCTTCATACGCATTGTTTCACACTTCTTTTGTCTCCACATCGATTTACAACAGTCTACAGGGTGTCCCAAAAATGTCTCGCAATCCGAGAATGGCGGGTTCCTCGGATCATTCGAAGCAACTTCTTCCTTTACGAAAATGTTCTCCGAGGCACCGTTAACGAGTTATTAACGAAAAACAGTGACCAATAAGAATCGAGTACGGCCGATGCGAGGCGGCCCAGTCAACCAGCGCGCGAAGCCCAGTTCCGCTCATTGACTCGGTTGCCTCGCGCCACCCGAGCTCGCCTCTCATTGGTCACTGTTTTTCGTTGATAACTCGTTAACGGAGCAAATTTTTGTAAAGGAAAAAGTTGCTTCGAATGGCCCGAGGAACCCGCCACTTTCGGAT